TACTGAATAAAAAATAAATCGTACTTCAAAAATTCTGAAAAAAATATCAACTTTTTGATGGCCTTAGCAGCAATATTTGTATGTATATTAATTTGAAATTTTTTGTCCGTGTCGTTTAAAGATACTTTTAAAAAACTTTATTTTTGGCCATTTTATTTTTTTATAACAAAAACTGTACGGAAAAATTTTTTGATATATTTTTGGCGTATTGTACTGCATTTTCGACGTCCGAATAGGGAATCCCCAAAAGTAAGAGGTTTAGCCAAAAACGAGTGACACATTCTGGGGCTCATTTTTTGAGAAAATAATATTGGTTAAAACCGCACCCCGCTATCGTCTTTTGTTTTCGACTTACAGACAAAAGTTGACATTTTGGCGACATCTAAAAAAAATCATATCTTCGTTGTTATAGATATACGGATTTGAAATAAAGACATTAAACAGGCACATTTTTACGAGGAATTTAATAATGTAGTTAACATTTTTTTTCAGTTATTGGTTTTGGTTTTGGAAAACCTTATTTTTTTCTGATCTAAAACAGAATATTTTTTATAATTATACTTAAAAAATGAAATACATATTTTGTTTGATAATAGTTGGCCATGGAAAAACTATTTCACTCCAAATATGTAAATAATAATCAATAAGAGATTTGTGAACTGTGAAATAGATGAAAAAATAGATAAAATTTAAAAAATTTAATAAATACGATACGTTAGAAGCATTGAACAAATATTCGAGCGCCTCAGAACAAAATTTTTACATATTTTTAAGAAATCCAAAAATAGGAAAAAAAATGTATCAATAGTCAACGCAATTAGAAAAAAATTTTTTTATGGTATACTATAATTCCACATAGACGGAATTTGGATATTTGAAAAGCCATATCGTCATTTTTGTATTATACAGGATGATTCACATAACTTTACCACCCTGACGAACTTTAAATGCAACACATTATACATTATTCATCTATAACTTGATACTCTTAGTTACGTTTAATTAGCATGAAATRCGACCACCCATAACATCAATGACAATTATAAATGCCAACTCGTTTTTGTAAAATTTCAAAAAAWWTTGTTGATTTAAAATGTATTCTAATGACGAAAGGGTCGACATGATATTGATTTATGTGTASTGAGTGTTAGAAGAATGTAGTAGCAGCGGAAAATTTGTYGCGGCGCGGCGGTGGTGTCGGTGTAATGTTACTGTATGTTACTGTATTTTTTTCATACAATTTAAACTATACGTTTTTTCAAAAGAAAATAAAAACTATTGAATTTTYCAATCCYTTACAATTATTCAAAATGAGATAAAAACTRTGTCTAAAATAAAATTTATAAAGGAAATAAATAAAAGTGTAGGCCCTAATTCCAAGATCCCATTATAAAATTCTACGAAAAACGAGAAAGCTAATTTACAATACTCGCGCTTTTACACTAACTCGGACTAACGTCCTCGTCAATTTAATTTTTCGCGCTATTATTGTAATATCTTCTTTATTCTACTTGTTACATAAKTAACTTTTTCTAAAAAAAATGAATTACCGAAGTCAAAGATTTGGTTTAAATTCGGATTATTGACATAAAAAGGTTAGTTCAAATTATTGTGGGTTCGGATAGTCGAGATTGCACTGTAATGTTATAGCACTCATCAATATGGACGGCAATTTGAGAGACATGAACAGCGATAAATTCCTCCAACGTTTCCAAATAATTTCCAAAAATTCCATCAATAGTACATTACAAGTGAGGTGGTAAATATGGCATTACTTCGAGTGCTCATGTATGAGAGGCGCCAGCCTCGAGATCGGATAAAGTACAAGAGGTAATGCCATTACCACCGAGGTTTGTATGCGATTTTATTCACACATTATTTTCAGTAAAAATTTTGAGTAAAATAAAATTCTAACAAAGTTAAGATCTAAACGTGGTAGGCCATCCAAATTGCGTTTGATTTTTGACATTTCAGAAYTGTCAAAGAAAATATTGAAATAATGTATGGAATCTGATATTAAAATTGTTGAACTGGAGCAGTGTACTCCCTCAAAAGTAAGAGAAACTGCTACAAAAGCAATTGAATACTAATTTAGCAAAATATTATGCGTAACTTGACAATTTGAAAGAAAAAATTCTCGGTATTTTTGTAATCTTAACGTTGCAAACTTGTGTACTACCGCTCAGGAAAAAAAATGATATTACTGCTCATGAGATTTAATGATGTATTTCCCAACCTTTAAAAGGTTAGTAATTGGCACATTACATTAGTGATTCTGAATAAAAAATTATACTTAATATTAATTACTATAATTACCCTTGAATTTTAAATATTGCCACAACTAATTCTCTTCGGAGAAAATTGTCTTTTTTAAATCTTAAATCTTGTTATTTTATGTTTATGTTAAATAATACATTAACTTGTTTTATTTTCAGCCCACGATTTGGCCGGTAGCGACCAAGGAGGCTTCAACGACCCTTACGTGAGACTAGCACTTTCGCCGGAAGTTGATTCGCGTAAACGTCAAACGACAATCCGTCGCAACGATCCAAATCCGTTTTTTGACCAACACTTCAAATTTCCAATATCGCATGAAGATCTCCAATCGAAAACGCTCATCCTACAAGTGTTTGATTACGACCGATTTTCACGAAACGATGTCATCGGCGAAGTTAGAATGAGTATGGACGAATTCGACGTTACATCGAGCATAGAAGTATGGGGTGAAATAACGAAAAATAAAAAACCACCAGAAGAATTACAAGAAGTGCTTGTCTCACTCAGTTATTTGCCTTCGGCTGAAAGACTGACGGTGGTTTTACTGAAAGCGAGGAATTTGTTCCTGCCACAAGAAAAAGATACCATAGGTAAGAAAAAAGTAGTTGAATTTTTTTCATGTGGAGCTTTATTTCCTCATATCCTTAAAAGCGAGTCTTTATTTCCAATATTTACATTTCAGATCCATTCGTTAAAGTGTATCTTCTCGTTAACGGTAAACGAATGAAAAAGAAGAAAACAGCCGCAAGAAAGGGCACTACAAATCCAGTATGGAACGAAGCGTTAACATTTAGTTTGTCGGCTTCTAACGTGGCTAATGCTGCAATTGAGGTAAAAGACGGTTTATTTTTATTTCATTTTTAGCCTGAGAACCTGAGATTAATCTATTTTTAAGCTAATTATTTTTTTATAGTAGATTGATAATTACGAAAGAAATTTTAACGAAGTAGAAAAGTTTTACGACGTCACCAGCACAAATTTGATTTTTGCAAAAGACGTGTTACTTTTCCGTGGCCACCCACGCGAATTTTGCTAAATGCGTAGACAAGACTTGATCCAATTTACCTCTTGCTTACAATTCTAAAAAAGAATTAATTTAAAATAAAATTATTAATTTCTATAAAGAGGTTAAAATTGACTGTCGATCTGTTTATATTCCAGATTTGTATAATGGATCAGGCCAACGATTTGATCGGCAGCAACCCCRTAATAGGCTGTTGCATAATCGGCCCTAAAGAAGCAGGTCCAGAAAGGGACCATTGGTTAGATATGACACAAAGTCCAAGAAAAGCTATCGCATGCTGGCACACCATGAGGTAAATCAAAATATGCTCAGTTAACGACGTTGAGAATTAAAAAGACAAAAATGGATAGGAAGAAAGAAAGATGAGTCTACATGTCCATAATTTAATGTTATTCTATGTTAAACGTGATCATATAATTAAGTGTGTAACAATTAAGTTAAATATTATTATTTTAAGAGCTTTTTTAGAGTCACCAAACTCATTAATTTATTATAAAAGAGTTAATTGAGATGATTTTAAATGGAATGGCCTCGTCATTACAATAAAAAACGGTAACTAAATTATACAATGAAAACTTATGAATTACATGTGTCCTTTTGAATGTTTTTACAAGACAATCATTTTATTTACCAACTCAATTTTTTAACTGTCATATTTAAGGATTACAAGGGAGAGCTGTCTAAAAGGATATTTATATTTGATATTGTTATTCTTTGAACACTAACTCTAGTAAAACGCTGCACTTTGTAATTTAAAAAATGTAAACTTAAACAACCAGAAAAAAACGCTTAAATTGACATCAGGGATGTTAAAMTTACATATTATAAAAGTCTTATGACGTCCCTCTCATACTTATGATAAATGTTGCTATCCTTATAAATATTTACACTTAAATTATATCAAATGAAAAATATCATAATCTATTTACATCATTGTATATCGAACTGTTTTTAAATAAGAAAATTTATTAAAAAATCAAAACTGTATCTATAAAATGTATATCAATTATTATACAGGTGCGCCAGAACTCGCGCCCCAGAGAAAAATGCCATATAAGGTAAGATACTAGGAACATGGAAAAATTATCTATAAAAATTTCGTATTTATGAGGGTTTAAAGTTTGCTCTGTGACTCTATTTATTTCTATTAAAAAAATTATTTTTCAAGTTTTTTTGCTATAGGTTATTAAAAGAGGAAACAAGGAAGCTGTATCCTAAATTGTAACTCTGTTCAATGTTATTTGTGGCTTTTATTGGCAAAATTTTTGTTCCTTTACTAAATAATTGTAAAAAAACATATACAAGATCATCAGTATCATTAAATAGATATAAAAAAATCAAATGTCAAAAAATAAATGTCAAAATTTTTTGACAGATAGAATTTTTTAAACATTTTTTCATGTTCCTGGTATCTTATCTTATTTAAAATTTTTCTGTGGGGCGCGAGTTCTGGCGCACCCTGTATGAGTACCTAAATGTTACGTGTTATTTGGTTAACACCCGTTTTTAGTTTTTAATAATTATTGTAAACAGTGTACCTTAAAGGATTGTTGCAATAAATATCAGTGAGTATTTTGTGTGTTGTTTTTGTTGTTTTTACCCATCCGGGCTTATAACCAAAATAAAATCAATAAAAATAATAAAAACGTGATCTTTGATCATCCACAATTTTTATTAAAACAAAAACTTTTTTCCAAAAAAAAAAACAAATCTGGATAATAGATTGTTATTAGGAGTAAAAGTGATTAACGAAATGGATTCAGCTGAGCCACATAAAGTCACTTTTATTCCAAATAACATATACTATTTTATCTGCAAACGATTCAGATGGAGAGAACAGAGCAACACACCAATAATCAAATAAATCACCTCAATAATCAGGACGCTTTGCAGTAAAATCATAACAAACGTCACGCGTCAGTTTCGGAATTTGTGTTGAGATTTCGAAAGAGCTGATTGATTTAACTGTTAAATAACTGGTGTAGTTTATAGTGCAAAATATCGAATGCTGATAAGCTACCTCTCCAGAAAATGCTGATAAATGTCAAAGTAGGTGTCAAGTAAAAGTGAAAACGCRTAGGTGTAAAAACAGTGTTTTTACTCCATGTCTGCAAAGTAAAACTTTTACCTGTGTCATTTAGTCATAAAAGTGTCATTTTTCTGACGTTTGCGAAAAAAAGTGTATTTATAACAATGAAAATTGTTTGTGTTTATTTTTGGTGATTTTATTGCTTTTAAAAATCCAGTCTATCGCTGGTGGCAAAGTGCTGATGCAAAAATTATACAGTGAGCGGCAAAATGATGAAATAATCTTAATTATTAAAACAAAATACTTTATTTTGACAAAATTCTCAACTTGATTTAAAATTGTATGCTTGTTTTTTGTTGATATTATTTCAGTTTTTAAATATTTTTTTTCAAAAAATGTATGTAATATTCAATATTGTGGTGTTGTCATTTTAGAAATTATGTCCAGGGATTGGGTTTACAAGAAAAAAAAAATTATCTTTCATTTTACGTCAAAACTGCAAAGGAAAAACATTTTTTGCTTTACCTGAAACGAGTAAATCTGTAATTAAAACTTGATTATTCTGATTCAGTGAAAAGAAAAAAAAATTTCTTGATTTTGGACTTGATTTTTCTCTGCTTTTTAAGTTCTAACACATTGGCGGTTTTATTTATTTGACAACTATATGTCACTTTGACAATTAATTTATTAATAAAATAATGATAGTTCTTGTTAAAAATGACTTTATTTTTTATCTTAAAGTTGTTTCTTTGAGTTGCTATTTTTCAAAATTATGTTTTTCACAAACATTTTTGTTATTTAACTTGCGTAAACCCATTTGTCAAAGTGATATCATTGTCAAAAAAATAAAACCGCCAATGTGATGAGATTTACAAAGCAGAGAAAAATTATTCTAAGTCCAAAATCAAGAGAAGAATGAAGTTTTCTTTCTACTGAGTTAGAATAATGAAGTTTTAATTACAGATTTGCTCGTTTCAGTTAAAGCAAAAAATGTTTTTCCTTTGCAGTTTTGGCGTAAAATCAAAGATACATTTTTTTTTCTCTTGTAAACTCAATCCGGGAACAAACTGTATATTCTTTGGTGAAATGGCACAGTCTCAGAACTGACAGTGATGTCCTAGTACTCGAGTTGCACTACGACTGAAGCTATTGAAACAATACCACGAACAATCTGCAAAAATAAATTTAATAAAGTAACATTTTAAATAAACTCCAACATACGCTAAGTCCAAGTTGGTAATTAATCGAATAATTTTCTGAAAATTTAATTTTATACGGCTGCATAAAGTTTAATAACATAATCATGTAACTCCTTTTATTGCTGTCGTTAAAAGTATACCACTTCAATTCTTTTATAAAAGTTACAGTAAGATCCACCTAAAATATTCACTTTTTGTAGGTATCGTACAAAATTTTGCTTGTTGTCGAAAGTGTTTCATTTCTGTCGAGGGATTAAAATGTTAACTTTATCTCGAAACAGAATTGAAACTTTCCACCGAGGTTTGTATACAATTTTATTTACAACCCGAAATTTTTTCGAGTGATTGTCAAAAACGTCATTAGTTAGTTTGGGCGGAACGCTAGAACTAATCACACGTTTTTGACAATCACGAGAACAAAATTCCCGGAATCAAAAAATTGCATGACATCACGAGTTCAATTATAAGTCTTAGTTTTTTTATGTTTAAAATAAAGTTTTATTAAATTTGGGGTTAGTTTTTGTTGTCAAAAATTTCCACTTATATTAATTTTAGCTAATGTGTCGCTATGGTAATCATATTAAATACTAAATTTAGATTGGTTCTTCTCTAGTGTCATGCAATTTTTGTAAAAAAAAAGTAAAAAAAATCAAAAGCTTGACTCGTCAATCAGATCAGGCGTTTTCATCTCATTGCAACAAACTTCACAATAATAATCATTAATCAACAACTTCGAACTGCGCTTTTGTGCTAGATGTGTGTGGCAGTTTTTGCTCATTAAGTCTTTAAATCTATTGAAATGATGGATTCAGACAAAAAAAATATTGAGAGTACACCGCCAGAYTTAGAACACGTAGCTGTGTACTCACTAATGTATCCGTTTAATTGTGATGTGATAAAAATGGGACAAGAAAACGAGGGTAGTAATAGAGCTAGGTAATAGAAGGTCCGTAACAAAACTTTCCAATTATTGTCAAGGTTAGAAATGTCAACATTATATATGCCGTTGTGAATAAAACATTATTAATTACTTCACTTTCGACTGATTGCCCAGCTGCAATCACGATTCCAAACGTGGTAATTGCTGCAATTGCTGAGGAAGCAATACGTACACATTGATAACGAAGAAATTTGCTCTAAAATATTTTATAAATAATATAAATGAATAAATAGAAATTATTTATTTATCTAATAATACTCACAGTTAAAATGTGTATGGCAAAACTGATTCCTAGCAAACATCCGAGTAATGAAAATCCCGCAATTAAATTACTCATTTCATTCAGTTTGTCGGAATAAAATCTACAATTCACAACTGCATTTAGTAATGTGATTTTTCAATAAATGATTCACCTTCTTAGTTGCTGATGTCTACTTATACAAAATTTGAGTCGTTCACGAATCATTTTTTGATAATCATAATCATAAGGTAAATGTTCATCGTTGATATTTTTATCTTGTTTCGTTAAATTCGCCATATAGTGGCAATATAAAATTAATTGAAATCGAACATGTTGCGTTGCATAAACCACTTGACAAGCATGAACAACCATAACATAGCCCAACAGCATAAAAGATATTTTATAGAACTTAATCAACAGTTGTTTGTAATTGGGAAAATAATCTTTCAAGAATCTTATTAAGTAAAATACTTCTTCATCTCCATAAACTGTCTGATAGTACATAAAACTTGCAAATAAAGTTAATAAGTAGTTAACTAAACCAAACACTGTTATAACATTTATTTCAAATTTAATTCGTGAATAGATTGCTTCTCCAGCAGACATTATGTCCCATATTTTTAAGTCCTCTGTCAAGGTTTTAGTCATGTTGCCTTTAAATAAAAGAGTGCCAATCCCCAACAATCCCTATATTAAAATAAGTATCAAAAGTAAACATATTTGTGTTTTTATTAATAAATACTTACATAGAAGCAACCGAAAAACACAGGACCACATAAAATAAACTCTTTCGCACTTAAATTGCCAAACAATAATGCATAAATTGTTGCAAGACTTGCAAACAAATGTATCAGAAATGTTATAAATAAACACAATTTCATAATTTTTAGGTCGAAAATATCGGATGAGATAATTCTCAATACTCTCAAATAATCTAGAAGAAAGGATGTAACAGAAGATATACAGGATGCACCAGAACTCGCGCCCCAGAGAAAAATAAGGTAAGATACCAAGAACATGGAAAAAAAAGTTAAAAAAATTCTATCTATAAAAATTCCGAAGTTATGAGAGTTTAAATTTTTGCACTTTGACTATTTATTTCTGTTGGAAAAATAATTTCCCTAGTTATTTTGCTAAGACTATTAGAAGAGGAAACAAGGAAGCAATTTAGGCTACAGCTTCCTTGTTTCCTCTTCTAATAGCCTGTAGCAAAAAAACTTGGAAAATTATTTTTCCAACTAAAACAAATAGAGTCAAAGTGCACAATTTAAACTCTCATAACGTCGAAATTTTTGTAGATAAAATTTTAAAAAATTTTTTTTCATGTTCCTGATATCTTACCTTTTATGACTTTTTTCTCTGGGGCGCGAGTTCTGGCGTACCCTGTATACAAGATCATCAATATCAAAATATTTTGGCAGATAGAATTTTTTAAACATTTTTCCATATTTTTTCCATATAATACAGAGTGTGACACTCTGTATGTATACATACACAGATGTTAGGGCTTTATTTGACAAACTTCTATAATCAATGAAAAAACTCAAAAATTTAAGATAAAACTAATGAGAAAAAAATTTTGGTAGCTACAAATAATTTAATGACCAAAAACCGCTCGTTGAAAAAAAAAAGAAAAAAGGACTCAATATCGAGCAAAACAAAATGGTTCTAAGAAAATTAAAAAAAAAAACAAAAAAACACAAATCGAAGTCAACTAAATAAAATATATTTTGGTCTAATATAATTAACTTTGTTAAGTTTAGACACATTTAATATTAAAAAATTACCTATAGTTGAACTTTTAACAGTGAATTGCACTACCATTATGTAAAGTTCTATTTTGTTTACTGTTTATTAATTGACGTCTGTTCCAGAACATAAAATGACTATATACTATGAATGGTAATACTCATTTAGTCTTTTTCAAGGTATACAGATGTAGCATTTTATCGATAAATGAACCTTAATGAAAGTATCAACGCTAAGTAACCATAACATCATATTAAATTATTAATAATTTCAAGAACTGAGTCCTTGACAGGAAACAGGAAATTGCAGAAGAAAAATCAATTATTACGTTCTTTCTTATTTTCAAGAAATGTTAATTTTATTCTTTCACCGGATGTAAAAATAAATGACCCCAACGATATCCAATAACAAAATGAGAACACTGAATAAGAAAACCTAAACAGAATATTATAAAAAAAATACTTGATAATGCAATTACGAGTAAAACTAGAGTTCCATTATAATATTTATTTATTTTTTGTTATTCTTTCTCTTTACATATTTGGAAGTAAAATTAAAACAGAATATTTTAAAAACTGAGATAAAAGATATTTAATTCTGCAGACATTAAAAATTTTGTTATCTCAGTAAGTATCAAAATCGTCGTATCCCAGGCTATTATATAATTTAATCCATTGGTCATAAGTCTCTTTTTTGGGCTCACTCTTGATTTCTAAATTTTTCAAAATATCCACATATTGTGCCTTCGAGTCAAATTTTGGCCATGTTATATTCTGTAAAAGCTTAATTTTTTTAGGTGTAGGATTTCTGAAATTCACGTATGAAGATAAATAATGATAGGCACTTGATGAAAGAAATTACAAATATTTTGCAAAATTAGTCCATATTTTTTGAATACGATACTGTGTCGTCCGGTCAGACACTGGAAAACGGCATAAATCGGAATTGTCGTAATAATCGTCATATTTTCGCCAAATGTAATAATTTTCCTCACCATGTGAGACATTTTGAGCGCCTGAAATTTAAAGTTTAGTTTTCCAAAAATAACACACACTTGCTTGGTTTACCTTCCACTGTAAATGACCAGTTCCCTAATTTTCCATCATAGGAGAATTGATAAAAATAAACATCGCTGAATTGCGACTGAATTTCAGCATGTTTTCTGATTGGTCTAGTATAAGAAGTATCACTGTAATACTAAAAAAAACTTAAGGTTCCATGACAATTTAATTAAAAATTACTKTGACTGATGAAGGCCCGATTTCAACTAAATTATTTCCCTTAGTGTAAATATCTCTGATCTTGATTCCCATCTGTTTTCGTTTTTCTAAATCATCGATTCTCATATCATTAGGCACCAACCAGTCTATATTGTTATCGTAAGTATCTAAAGCGTGCTTGAACCACTCTTTCACTGTAAATTCGCATTAATTCACTCATCATTATCACAAAAAAAAACTCACAATAAGTATGAAAAATATTTTCTTCTGAATTGAAACCCATCAAAGTTGGAACCTTAATAAAATCACCTTTTTTCAATTGAACGTACATTTTTTGGGTAAGGAAAGCTRRATCGTGATTTGGTTCTACAACAGGTGCGAAAAAAAATCCTTGAAGAATTTGTCTGTTTTTGTGAGCTTCCTAAAAAAACAAAAGGTACATATTTATTTCTTTTTTATGTACAGTAACAGTACTGTTAAACTAAGTGTGTATGACGCCTTGTCCAGATCCTGGGCGCTAACACTCCGCAAAAATTGCAGCAAAGTTTGAGAATCGTTCGATTTACCAACATCTTCATCTAATAAACCAGCTGTGGTGAAAGCATAGTCTCTAGCACTTCTTTGGTAAGCCCAAGGACTCAAGAAAGAACCACTTTCGCAAATAATGCCCCGGAATAAACCTAAAGCAAAGTTGTTAGATATATGTAYTTCTTGCATTTCTTTTGATTAAAATAATACCTTCAGACTGTGTGTGTAAAAGGTGAAACGCGACAGATGCAGATCCGGCACTTTGACCAAAAAGCGTTATTTTCTTTGGGTCACCACCGAAAAGATGAATATTGTCGTGGGTCCACTGCAAGGCTAAAAGTTGGTCTTTGAGGCCATTATTTCCTGGAACTGTCATGTCTTGTGTGGAAAGAAAGCCTAAAAAAGGTAGATTGCTTAAATTTAAAAAAAACAAAAGCTTTTTTTCGCGTAAAATAGTATATTGATAGACTGTTAAGTACAACTTCTTGCTTTAGTTATATCATAAATGATTGACATTTTATATTTCATTTTTCCAATTATTGTTAAAGTGTTTTATGGTAAAAAGACATACAGAGTGTTCCGGATAATTAACCCCACATTAGAAATACGTATATTAACAGTTCTAAAAATAATATTTATCTAAAAATTTGCAGACATCCATAATCGGTGAGATCCTATCCAATGATGGTGACACTTCCAGTTATTCCTGAACTGGGTATCAATTTTGTTATTTTAAATACAGGTAGTATCAGAACTCGCGCCCCAGAGAAAAATTTCAAGTAAGAAGATACCAGGAACATAGAAAAAATGTTTAAAAAATTCTATCTGTCAAAAAAATTTGAAATTTATTTTTTGACATTTGACATTTTTTATGTCTATTTAATTTTTTATAATTATTAAGCAGAATTACAATTTAGGATAGAGCTTCCTTGTTTCCTCTTCTCAAGGCCTGTTAGCAAAAAAACTTAGAAAATAATGTTTCAACAGAAATAAATAGAATCAAAGTGAATAATTTAAACTCTCATAACGAAAGTTTTATAGATAGAATTTTTTTTTTAATTTTTTCCATGTTCCTTGTATCTTGTACCTTTGTACCTTACATGGCATGTTTCTCTGGGGTGCGCATTCTGGCGCATTCTGTATAAAGTTGTTTTTTATTGCATTTTGGATTCCTCGAATTATTCTGAGAATTATTTTTTTGAGATTTTTTGACTTTTAAAAAAAAATAAAAACAACAAAGCTTTTATGAAAAGCCAAATTTAACTATGTCATGTGACTACGGTCATAGTATACAAATCTTTATTTTCTCATTTTTCATTGCTCAACCTTTAGTTTTTGCTTTATACACTAATGGATAAAGTGAATCAAAAATAAAAAAAATCATTAACTGATATTTTCGTAAACAACTTTGAAGAGAAAATTTTATCACATAAATATTTTAGCAATAAAATCATTTTTGGTACAGATATGTAGATGATGTCTTGGCCCTTTTTAGAGGTTTCAAAGCTAAACTTGAAGAATTCTTAATTTTCATCTACTCAATAAATACTTAAATTCATCAAATTCTTTTCAGCCTTAAAGCCTTTACAAGGGAAAAGGACATCATCTACGATATAGCACAAAAAAAACAAAACAAACCCTTTTTTTTTCAATCTTATACCTTGTTTAAGGATAATTTTTTAAAACTTTATTGTACCTGTTATACATATGTGTATGCTTGGTTGCATATTGTAGATATTTGTATATAATAAACTTAGTCTTAAGCTGACTCTTAAGTTGATTGCATGGTGCTCGCTCCCGATCCCGCTCTCCAGCATAACAGTACCCTTAAGTCCTAAAGTAGTTTTTCATCAACTATTTTAGTACTTACCAAAAGGTCCAACTCTGTAGTTTGCACAAATGACTATTACACCTCGATCTAGTAAATATTCAGGACCATAAACATTATCGAAGCAGTATCCTTCAATAAAACCTCCACCGTAAATATAGAACATCACTGGAAGTGCTTGATTTGTTACATTTGATGATGGATCCTGAAAAACACATTACAAAATGGTTAAAGTAAATACATATTTGTGATCTAATTACTCTTTTATAATAAATAATTTAAAAAAAAAAACTAGTTTCACTTACTCTTGGAGTGTACACATTCAAATAAAGACAATCTTCCGATTCAAAATCTGAATCACTTGTCACTTGGTAACAAATGACATCATATTTGGTGGTTTCTAAAACCCCCTCCCACTTTTTGGGAGGAACAGGTGGTGCAAATCGCAAATCTCCGAGGGGAGGAGTAGCAAAGGGTATTTTTTGGTATGCCCAATAAGGCCGTTTGGATATTGTTTTTCCTATCCGACCTTTAATAAGTCCAGTTGGCAATTTGATAATTGGTGCATCGTCTGTGAACTGTTTTCTTTTTAGTAATGTTTTGCAGATTGTAGGTATTAAAAAACTTACACRATAATTCACAAGAAGCAATACTGCCAAAATTGAGGATAACATAGTCGATGACAAGTAGGTAATACAAAATTCTTATCGAAAGTACGTACTACTATTTATAAGTATATTTTTTTGTCATAAAATTTTATTACTACTGTTATTAAGTTGTAAAATCTACCATAGATCAATTGGTCATGTACCCTTTGATGTCTTCTAACACTTAGATGAGTCACACTTCTAAAAGATAAATAATAGTCTAACATTATTGCTAAAAGTAAATATCATTTTTTACAATCACATAATAAAGACTAATATACAGAGGGTTTCACACAACTTTACTAATGTACGCACCCAAATACACAAAATTCACAAAACACTAGATACAAAAAATACACTTAATTATTTAATTTTTGGAAACTCATGACAGTAGTTGTCAAACTAATCACTGTGTCAATAATAGTCATAAACTGCAGTTTTTCAGAAACAATTATCATTTGTTCTATCAAGAGACGGCATGAATATGATTCTAGTTTATCTATCTTAATCACTAACTAGCTAAAAATGTTGTAATTTTTAAAAGAGTGAACAAAATAGAGAAGATTATACAATTTTTCAACATTTGTAATCGAGTTCGTATCGGAATATGTATTATTGATTGCTTCTTACAGGCGCAGGCCTCGTTAAATTAAGTGAAACACTCTGTACTATGTGATAATAGTCATTATACACAGGTTAAGACATATTATATTCTACATTAAAATTTTCTCAACTGTCGTCATTGGAATTACTATTTATTCTATAACGGTTAACAAACTATTTAAATTTTAAAAAGTCGTTAATTAAAAAAAACATGCAATGTAATTGTTAACAATAGCAATACWGCAAAACAGTAGCAACTGCWATAGCAAAAAATCTGGTGTGAACATCACACGACTTTCCTTATCTTTATCCTTATTTGGAAAACATCCTAACGACAATTTAGTCTAGGAAATCCGAGTAGCAAACTTGCGTTAGTGCCACCTGCCGGATTATACGCGAAATAGATCATAGTTGTCGCGGGTTCGAGTCTGGGGTGCAGTTTTTTTTACTTTGGTACCCATTATTGTTTTATCACATTTTACTGTTTAATAAGGTATATTTCATGAAGATGCAATTGACCATTTTTAAGCAAAAAAAGAGTCTTAAAACAAATACTTTTATAAAAATGCAATTTTAAGTAATTTCTCCTATATGGCGCAATGTTTGATTAGCAAATCTTTACTTCAAAAAATCATATCTTGAAAACTACTCGATATATTCTTTTAAAAATTTGGATTCTAACTAATAAAAAGATGGTCTACACAATGGTGATAAAGAAAAAAAATACTCGTAGGGTTTTTCTTAGATTATTTCGATTTACTTCGAACTTCTTCGAACACCGTTCGAWGAAAAGTTCGTCAATACTCGATTTCAAATTGCATATCATTCTAAGGGGCAAGTTCATCCCTTTAGAATGGTCTTGATTTGATGGAAATCGGGCTAATAGTTATTGAATAATGATTTTTTTAAAGTTAAAGTATTTCAAATTCAATTAAATTAGAAAAAAAATATATAGTTCAAAGTGTATGGACTTTTTTATATTTTTTTAGTGCATTTGATTTGTCTCACTGAGACGAAATAAAATGATATATAATTTGTCAAGTTGTCACAACACACAACATGACTTTTTTTTGTCGCCCTGTGTTATTGGTCTTATCAAGTTAAGAAACTACAATTACAAATTTTAAGATCTACATTTTACAAACCTTGCACCATTTTTCTATTGATTAGAATCAGTATAAAATTTGAATAAACATTTATGTTTTATTTCCATATTTCCTTCACAAAATTTAAGCCAATCAAATCTTTTAAATCTTAGAAATTTGAAAAATTTGATTGACTTTTTTTAACARAATTTCTTTTAATTTCTCATAATGAAAATATTGTTTTTGTAAATTTTGTTAGGAAAATTGTCTGCCCTTGTGCACTCGACAAAATAATCGACAATTTGGTATGCACTCAGGGTATTACTGTTAAACATTTTTTTACAAATATATACAATCAGAATCTCGATATTTTAAAATATACTTACAAATGTATTACGAAAATACAAGCTTATTGCTAAGTACGGAAACTTTTTCTAAACTTTGAAACTGCTATTGTAATATTTCATAAAATTTATCGCATCAATTTGAAATAATCTTTTTATGTTTTATACTGTCTATATCTCTGTCTATGCTAAGTGATGAGCAAAGAAATAAAAAAATAGAACAATAAAATTACACAATATAAGTGATTAATTTTTTTAAATTATAATAACAATAATAAAACTAAAATTTTGTTAAAACTAGGTTATTTACCTGGTGGGAGTCGATAACAAAATGTGTGCCCGATACTAGAAATACATTGAGAATATTTAACAACAAATCCGTTATTTTGGCGTATGTTAAATAGAACAGGACCACCTACACATAAGTTTTTAGATATTTTTTAAAATGAGTTAATTTACTGTTTTTATCAGGTGCTTTATCTTTGTAATAATATACAATTATATCCAACAACAACGTTTCAAAATATTTATATACCGGGCGATTTTAACGGTTTGACAGAAATTTAAAGAGGTGACAGCAAATGTTAAAAGGAATTAAAACAAAATTTTAGCCACCCTAATCCGAATGTTGATAATGTCAAAATATACATAGGTTTGATGTGGTTTGATCTATAAATATAAAAAAAAACATAATTAAAAAATTTGATGAAATATAGATTATCTGTCCAGTGGCGTTAGCGCCCAAAGCCCTAAGAAAATTTTGGCCCCTCCCCTCATGGATTTGTTCTGTTTCACGAACACTTTACTTTTTTTACATTTTAGTGCCCGCCAAAATTAACTAAAATTTTGCGATTTTTCACATTGTAATATTTTTTAATTTTTTGTCGAATTTTGATGAATTTTGGTTCGGCTTAAAGAACGAACTTTGCAGAATATTGTAATTGAATTCAATAACATTTCTAGTTTTGTCTTGTAAATATTATACCTAAAAGACAAAACACTGTTTTTTTATTGTTTTTTATACTGAGCTGTGGTGTGCGGCAGATTTCAGATTTCTGATTTCAGATTATTATCCATTCTTTTACCAAAAACTTTCCAAGTTCATTGAATTAATATTGGCCATTTTCAGTGGTTCTCAAACGATTTTGGCAAAATTTTCAAATTGCTCTTGTATCTACACGGTTAAACTTAAGACACCGATTTTTTTTTCGAAGACACTTCACTTGCGGATCAACTACAGGTTTAAATATACTCTGTGAGACAGCCCGTATTTAATTTAGCAGTTAGTGACATTAGTATTGTTGATTGCGGCAAAAAATTTTCAGAAGTACCTCTTTCGTGGATAACACTGTAAAATTTTAATTAAATAAAACATTTTGAGGCAGTGAAAAATTTAAAAAAAAATAAAAATAAATAATAAAAAAATATTAACTTTCAAATCCAGGTGGTCAGACGATAATAAATGTAAATACAGGATGTCCCATCGAGTTGAAAATGTCCATTAGTGATCTTTAAATGATAAAATTTAAAAAAATTGTATAGAACATTGTATTTACTAATCTAGTGCTTCACCTAAAATTATTTTCAACCATACAGCATGTCCTAAAAATAAGTTACGATACAAACTTGTGTTTTTTTTTAATGAAACACCGTATGTTTCTTGGCATTTTTAGATGTAGCGTTTTAAAACAATGTTTTTACGCTAAACTTTTATTAGTCGATTTCGCTTAGTTTTAAAAATAAGACGTTGTTTTTGACGAAAACATGGACTTTTTGAAAAGTTATTACACACAAACTAAGACAGCTAGAACAAATTTTTTCTTACTTCTGCAAAGAAGCAAGTACAGAATTTAAAGCTGTAGCAATTTTTAAGGGTTTCGCATTTGTAAAGATTAATAAATTAAGAAGTTTGTTAAAAGTTAAATAATATAAAAAATTTAAATGGAACAGCCTATTTTTTAATAAATTGATAAAATGTCTATATAAAAAATAACTTTTAATATTTCAAATTTGTAAATGAAAAGATATTTCACATTCAATATTAATTATATTATCGTATCAATAAGAAATTACTCCCTAGGATTTTGGGATATTCGTGAATAGGTTGCCATAAATTTGGTTAGGTTGGTTTCTGGTGACAAACAAAAGATATCATAACCAGTGTCAAAATTTAGGTTAAGTCGCCTGTCAGCTTGTATGGAATTCAATTGATAGTTGACAGCAGGTTACAAGGGGTAACCAACTCTAAGCATTCAAAATTACTTCTGAAAATTCTAGTTACAAACAACATGAAAAACGTAACTTTCCTAAAACTTCAAATCCTAGGTGGTAATTTCTTGTTGACAAATCTATAGCAATCAATATCTGAGCATTGTTGATACTATGGCAACCATAYTAATTCCACCACGGATCACTTTTCCGTTGATTTATCCAGAGATAGTCAAAGTCGTTAGAAATACTGAAATTTGAATTATTTTATTGTAAAAATAAAGAATAATGGATTCAGTTTAACGTAAATGTACGATTATTAAGTGATATTTATTCCATCTCTTGTGTAACTGTGCACTTTTTGGCTACTGAAACAATAGTAATTTTTTTTAATGTTTAACGTTAAATATCTTTTTAGTTATTGATTATAYACACCTAAAAGTAAATAATTTWAGAAAGGCAATTTAATAATATTTTAAATACAAAAATAATAAATAGGGTTCCATTAATTTTTTTTTAATTATTGAATTTTTAACAAAAGCCTTCATTTTTTTATCTATAATATTTTTTATCTATGAAATGTAATGTTGGTTGCTTCAAAAAAATGTCAGGCTCATTATTACTCGTGGGACACCCTGTATATTAAAAATGTAGACATGATTTTGAACTTAAGATTGACGTTTTTGCAGATTCTCTTGCTCTATTTTTCACACCGTATTAAATGACAAGGAATTTTCCAGTTTCTTGACCGCGTAATAACTCATACATTTGGTCTCTTTACAATGGATTTTAAAAACAATTCCCTTACAGAAAGTTAGGGCCCTTTTTAACCCGTCACACCACAAAAATGCTGTGGCTAAATCTGTACCGTCAAAAATACACCGTACTGTATTTAGTGTATGTTTAAAACTTTGAAAAATTTTAAATTGTACATCACGTAACGTATAGTGGCATCTGAGAATGTATTTTAGGTTGCGTGTGAAAATCGGTCAGGGTCTTTATCATACAGGATGTCCAATTTATCTGTTCCCGCCTAAAATGTTATAATTAGGCAACCAATTTAACTTTTCATATGAAACTTAGTGTTTAAAATGTTATTTTTTATAATAAACGAATAGACAACTGCCGATTAGGTCAGCCAATTTCTTCAGTTTTTATTGCAAAATCAATTCGAGTTGTAATTGATTCGTGACAATTCTAAAAGTGAAAAGTAAGACCAATTTTTTATTGCTCAAATCGATAGAGTAATTAATTTTAAATAAAAAACACATAACCTTTTATTCTACTAAAATTTAATTTAATTTAAATGACATGGTCATTCCTTGCCATGGACATCATTCATTCAAAATTCATACTTTTTGCTTTTAACTCACTTTAAATTAAAATATCTTTGAAATTGTCCATTTTAGGAGTATTAAAAGTTATGCAAAGGTTATGAAATTGATAACTCTATCGACTTGAGCAATAAAAAGATAATGTTAAGAGGCCAAAAAAAAAAAAAAACAAAAAACACAGAAAAATGACCTGCAACTGCTGGAACCGGAAATTAAGTAAATGTATCCGGTTTTCGTGATTGTCAGTTTAAAAGGTATGTACTCGCAAGTAACTGTTCCAAATTTTATAATATTTGTTCAAATGGTTCCGAAGTTATTACAAAAAAAAACAACAAATTTCCATACTCCAATTCCGAGGGTTGTAAAATTCGTATCAGTAGAGATAGGACACGCGTTTTTATTTAAATTAACATCATTTTATAGGTTATTTTTGAGGTTCAAATATTGCTTCATATTTGTGAACAACCCTTTATCACCTATACAGGATGCGCCAGAACTCGCGCCCCAAAGAAAAATTTCAAGTAAGATACCAGGAACATGGAAAAATATCTTTAAAAGATCCTATCAAAAATTTTTGACATTTGACATTTTTTTATGTCTACTTAATTAGACTGATGATCTTGTATCTTAATTTTTATAATTATTTAGTAAAGGTACAAAAATTTTGCCAATAAAAGCSACAAATAACATTAAACAGAGTTACAATTTAGGATACCTACAGCTTCTTTGTTTCCTCTTCGAATAGCCTGTAGCAAAAAAAGTCGCAATAGACTTATTCTAACATCGAAATAGAAAAAATTATTTTTCCAACAGAAATAAATAGAGTCAAAGTGCAAAATTTAAACCCTCATAACTTCGAAATTTATATAGGCGAGTTCTGGCGCACCCTGTATAACTTAGCCTGTAAATCACCCTTTCCCTTTACGCTAAATTAATTAGGACAAATCCGTGTTCTTAAAATAACGTTTGGTTTCAAACACTACTGACATCACCATATTCCATTTTTCTTATTGCTTTCTTAAATATTATCATAAGTGTTCTAACCTRACAGTTTGTATTCAATGGCGGCATTTCAAAATGCTCTAGAAAAATTCAAATTTGAGCGGGAGAATTGCTCATGACGTGTGATCGGCGTAGTTTTGGACCCTTTTTAAAATAAGATAACCCTACGTTGTGGTTGTTAGTTTATTCGTAATAATCCTTCGTCGTTTCCTCGAAGCACTGAACAAACGGATGGGAGTAAAATTAAATAATCAAGAAATAAAACACTAATGTTTTATTAATATGAAGTATAATTCAACAATTAA